GAAATGAGAGGAAAGTAAGAGAGATTGATGCTCTCGAGTTTCATTAAAGGAAGGAAGTGGAAGGAAATGGAAGGATCACTTTCCCTCCTAACTTTCCTTCCGATTTTGGAGGATTTGAAAAGAAAGAATAAAATGTTTAACTTTACTTCCATTTCTCTCCAACTCGGGAGCACAAAAGACAAATTTGTTTTCCTTTCTTTTCTGTTCTTTTCTCTCCTTACTTTCTTTTCTCTTCTCTTCTTTTCTTTGCTTCAACTCGGGAGCGGGGTGTTACTCTCTCATTTTAGTTAAAGAAGAAATAGAACTCTAAATTTGGATCTCATCTTACCACCACCAGAGTGTCGTCGGAGCTTCTCTCCACTCTGTCTCTAAAATCCTCCCACTCTGTCTCTAAAATCCTCACGGTCGCCATCGTCGGTACTAAAGGGTTTCCCGTTGACTTCTCCTATAGATTTCTCTTACGTCAACGCTTCTCTCTACCCCTCACTAGCTTCGTCTTCATCGGTGGTGGATATGCCAAAAGGAGATATATATGAAGACGATGGAAAAGGCAATGTCTCTGGCAACGTATCTGACAACGTCTCTGCCAACGGATCCAACAACGTCTTCAACAACGTTTATGGAAGACATATCCAAGACAATTAATAAGTAGATCCGGAGAGAAAAGAAGAACAACCTAATGTAAAACCGCCTAAGGTTCCGATTCATGTCGTCGGGTGACCTTCTATTTCAGCTACTCCGGCAACAATGGCTTGAGATTTTCGTCGTAGAAGGTAGTGGAGAGGCAAATGGGGGAGGAGGGGGGGGCTTCAAGCAGTGGAGAGACGGAGGAAGGTGCTTCTAGATAGATGAGAGACATAACAAAGTGGTTATCAACAGTGGTAAGTGGTTTTCAGTGTTTTAGGTGGTTTCCAGCAGTGGTGGGTGGTTTCCAATCGAAGTGGGTAACATGGTGTCTCGAGTGTTTTTCAAGATCAATGTGTGTGTGTGTGTGAGAGAGAGAGAGAGAGAGAGACAGGGAGAGGGAGAGAGAGAGAGAAAGAGATTAGAAGCGGGGTGGGGGATGTGGTGAGTATATTTTATTTTATTTTAAAATGAAATAATAATAATAATAAAATAATAAAAAATAATAAAATGTGTGTCGGACTAAAAACACAACGATTCAAATTATAAGGATAGTCTAAGTATAAAAATGTTTAAGCACCGAACTTGCAAGTTTGACAAACTATAAGAACGATTTCATCATTTGTTCTCTATAAAATAAATAATAGATATACCCTAAAAACCAAAAACAGCTGCCACCTGGAATTTAGGGAAAATGACACAAATGCCCTACGAATTTTCTAGGGTTGGTCTATTTAATCCCTAAACTATTTTCGTGGCTCAACGAGGAACCAATTCATTGGCAACCCGTCTTTTTTAGTCCCCTTTACTTGTTTTAGCATGTTTATAGACAAAACTTGCCATATCACCGATGACATAGCAATGGAGATCGACGACAAGAAAAACTCTAAACCTGATGCCACCAATTCACCTCCACAACCAAATCGCACCAGTTGAATCTTCGATTCCACAAATCTCAACCGTAATCACACCTCCATTCGCTTCAATCCCTCACATCCCAATACTCCCTCATTTGCCTCCCTCAATCCCACGTTTACTTGCCTTTCTTCCCTCTATTCGTCCACAAAATGGCGACGTTGCAAAGACTACAAACGAAAACGCCGATTCCGATGAAGATGGTGACAAATCAAGTCCCGAATACGAAACCTCAGAAGATAGCAGGTTGTTTAGAGAGAAACATGAGACTAAGGCAGTTAGGTGAACCAGTGAAACTATTAGGTGAAAGAGAAATGGAGAAGAGAGATAGGTTGAGGATGATAAGGGATATATACACTAAAGTCCCAATATTTTCATCGATTTGACAAGAAACTCCTAAACTTTATTTTTTTGACAGTAAAGTCCAAATTACCGGCAATTTTTGACACTTTCACCCTTTTTTCCCGGTTAGCCGGTAATTAGGACTTTTTTGTCAAAAAAAATAAAGTTTAGGACTTTTTGTCAAATTGTCAATTAGGACTTTATTGTCAAAAAAATAAAGTCTAGGACTTTCTTGTCAAATCGTTGAAAATAATAGGACTTTAGTGTGTATCTCCTTTTTTTTGTTAGAAATTTAATGGTAGGATACTCTTTAAGCATAAGAGTTATTAAAATCTTTTCTAGTCAGCTAGATCCTATTGAAATCCTTAACATTTGCTTCTTATTAAATCGTTTTTTTAATCTCAACAAACAAACATTGAAAAAAATGGAGATAATAAAAAAGAAAGAAAGAACCAAGGTTGTGTTGGTTTTTTGCTGTCCCAAAAATGGAGAAATAAGAAACCGAACCCAGGTTCTTTCTTTCTTGATTATCTCAATTTTTTTTCAATGTCGGTTTGTTGAGATTTAAAAAACGATTTAACAAGAAGCAAACGTTAAGGATTTCAATAGGATCTAACTGATTAGAGAATGTTTTAATAACTCTTATGCTTAAAGAGTATTATACCATTAAATTTCTAACCAAAAAAAATTATATATACACTAAAGTCCCAATATTTTTAACGATTTGACAAGAAAGTCCTAAACTTTATTTTTTGGACAGTAAAGTCCTAATTGACGATTTGACAAGAAAGTCCTAAACTTTATTTTTTTTTGACAAAAAAGTCCTAATTACCGGCTAACCGGGAAAAAAGGGTAAAAGTGTCAAAAACTGCCGGTAATTTGGACTTTACTGTCAAAAAAATAAAGTTTAGGACTTTCTTGTCAAATCGATGAAAATATTGGGACTTTACTGTATATATCCCGGATGATAATGGCGAAGTTAGATTCAGAATGCCAGTTGGAAAGACCGATGAAGATTTTGGAGGAAGAAGAAGTAGTTGTGAATGCACAGGAATGGATGATGGAGGGCATGAGGTCGAAGGAGAGGAAGCATGAGGTCGAAGGAGAGGTGTTTCAATATCCATTTTATACAGAAGGGTTTATGACTTTATTGAAGGCACTATATGAAATTACAGAGGATTCAGTGGTGAAAGCTGCGATTAGGCCAAAACATCTTCCACTTTGTTTGTTATACAAATACTGTGATGTTTATCTTGACACCGACGTGATAGTCTTGAGAATTTCTCCAAATTAATGAACTCAATTGGAGGAGAATTGGTGATGTGACAAAGTTTTGCCAACAAATTAGGAAAATTCAAAAAGTTTTGCCAACAAATTGGGAAAATTCAAAGTCAATATGGGGAAATTGGTCAACAAAATGTTAATGTGGAAAGGGGTAACAGTATGATCCTTCACTTTGGCCAAAATGACGTAATACAAACACGACTTCATTCCCTCATAAAGCCACAAAAATAGTTTAGGGACTAAATAGACCAATCCTATAAAATTCGTAGGGCATTTGTGTCATTTTGCCCTGGAATTTATTAGCAGACATCTATTTCGAATTTTGTTAATAAGTGAATTACGTAATTAACTAAAGAATTTATTTAAATGGCAGTTTAGTTTTCTCCGCTGCAACCTGGAGCTCTCTGTTGTCTGCTTTCCACTCGTAGAGAAGAGATCATCGTAGTCTCCAATGTTGTACAATGTACATAGCATAAAGAACACACGCTCACGTCGAAAGCCGCTTACCCTTTTCCCTTCAAAATTTAGCTAAATATCCATGTGAATTTGACATCAACGTGAAGAAAAATTTCTATTTTGATTATCTGTAGATTATTTGAATTTTGTGTTCAAATTGTCTTCAAAATCAACTCTTACCATTGGGTTCGTTAATTACATACATTTGAGCGTGATCATATCATCTTGGTCAAAATCTTTTGGCCAATTTTACTAACCTTAAGTTTTTGTTATTGAGTTTCTTTTAGTTTAAAGCTTTTGGAACGAGGGTCGTTTCATAAAAGTGAAAATTATGAAAGCGGCGAAGTTAGGGTTTGTAATTTATGTTTGGTTTTTGTTTATGTATGGATCTTGTTTGTGTAATTTTGTGGTCGAGAAGAACAGTTTGAAGGTGATTGCACCTGAGAATTTAAGAGATACATATGAATGTGCAATCGGTGATTTTGGCGTTCCTCGATATGGAGGACCATTAAGCGGATTAGTTGTATATCCAAAATTCAATCAACTTGCTTGCAACAACTTCACTGATCATATCCCTTTGATATCAAAGAAACCCGGTAGCCTCCCCGTTTTTCTTCTTGCAGATCGCGGTGGTAATAATAATACTTTAATTAACCACATCATGCTTTATCATGTTTTATTTTTCTTTATGATATCTGTTTCTTGAATTTTCAGATTGTTACTTCACGTTGAAGGCATGGAATGCACAAAACGCAGGGGCTTCAGGCATTCTAGTTGCAGATGACTGGCCTAGAGACTTGATCACCATGGATTTTCCCAAAGATGGAGAAGGAGAAGATCCTCCTTGCGTACAAAACATAACCATCCCATCAGTACTCATAAGCAACTCACTTGGGGTTTCAATCAAGAAAGCTTTAGAAAACAATGGCCTTGTTTTTGTGAATCTTGATCGGAGAGAAGCTCTCCCTTACGCTGATGAAAGGGTCGAATACGAGTTTTGGACAAATAGCAATGATGAGTGTGGGCCCAAGTGTGATACCCATAAATATTTTGTTAAAAGCTTTAAAGGAGTTGCTCAAATACTTGAGAGAAAAGGGTACACTCGGTTCACACCACATGGTTTTGCCCTGAGGAGTATGTTTCAAGCACAAAGTGCAAGTCTCATTGTATCAACCATGGAAGATATTGTGCTCCAGATGTAGAGCATGAGTTTAGTAAAGGGTATGAAGGGAAAGATGTTGTTGTTCAAAATTTACGCCATGCTTGTTTTTATAAAGTAGTGCATGAAAGTGGAAAACCGTGGGTTTGATGGGATTTTGTGACAGATTTTGCTACAAATTGCTCGATGAAGGAGCATAAATTCACAAAAGATTGTGCGGATGAAGTCACTTGGTGAGTTGTGCAAACATTTTGGTGATAAATTAGTCTATTTATACGTTATGGTTTTTATATAAATATTTGAATACTGCTTAATTCTTTGTCTAATTTTGAGTCCATGTGCTTCTTAATTAGGAGTTGATCTCAAGAAAATTGATGAATGCATGGGTGATCCAGAAGCAGATGCTGAAAATGCAGTCCTCAAGGCTGAGCAGCAAGCACAGGTGTGGTCTAAAAATATATATTCTTTTTTTTTGTGGATTTGTAGTTTGCATATGTGATGATATGATCTTTCATGTTCATGTATATATAAAGATAGAGAAAGGTATTCGTGGGGATGTGATGATCCTTCCAACTCTTGTAATAAACAACAGAGAATATAGAGGTAAACTTGATAAAAAAGCAGTTCTAAAAGCCATCTGTTCAGGATTTAAAGAGACCACAGAGCCACCAATTTGTTTGAGTCATGGTTAGTATAGAGCTTCAAATTTTCTCCATAATTTCAAACAAAATACTCAAGTAAAACATTGTTGCATTTACTGGTATAAAAGTGAAAGTTTGTTGCATAAATGGGAAATAGGCAAAGATGTTGCTACAAGTGTTGGGTGGGGTTTTGCATGGACTGTTGTTCTTGGTGTGGCCGCTATTGGAGTTGTTGGATATACATTCTACAAATATAGAGTTCGAGTACGTACACATTTACCTTTTCCTTGTATTAAGCTATTTTTATTTTTGTGACCATTTTTCCACTTTCATGAAACTAATTAATATATGTAATCTTGATGCAGAGATACATGGACTCGGAAATCAGAGCTATCATGTCACAGTATATGCCATTGGGTAATGAAGGGGAGGTTCCTGTTCATGGATCTCATGGAGAAATCTAAGCAGCATGCATGTGCTTTTGGTGTTCATATGTATACTTTGACACCATCTCATGTATTTTATATAATAGTTTGTTATAAGATTGTCTCTCAATCTTATATAGATATATGTATATAATGGTGAACAGTGAACTGGATCACATTGCCATGGTTTAGTGATTTGTGAGTTATATAAACTACATTTTTCTCAAGAATCGATCAGTAAAGGATAATACATGAGCAAATTCAATTTGCAACAGCAAGCAAAACAATTATAAACTATCATTTTTGAAGCTAGGAAATAAATTATTTTGTTTCATTTAAACAAAATGGATCTGAACTCTTAAAACCTCCTATTTTTTCATACTACACTTCCAATCTTTTTTTTTTTTAATCTCATTTCTTAGTTTGTATTTATTTTCCATACAATATAAATATTATTGTTAATATTTTATATTTTCTTTCAATAAATATCAAAACATGCCAATATAATAATACAGAAACAAAATACTTCGCTAATGCCAAATCGATTTCATGTTAAAAATTGTTATCCACCTTGTGCATATATGCCGCAAGAAAAGAAAAACAATATCAACAAAATATGAGAAATCTACAGTAAAGTCCTTGAAGGTTGGTTCCATTGACGCAAAAACCATCCCTGTTTTTTTTTATTTTTTTTATTTATTTAATTATTTTTTGCAATTTAGCCCAAAAAACCTGTAAACACTTTCAAAAAAATCTTTGTTCCTGACTAATGCCGACTTTCAGGGATTTTGTAACATCCCAAAAATCAAGGTAAAATTTTTATTTTTGAAAACCAAACCAAAAACCATAAATGTTTACAAAACATAGTTTCCAAGAGTCAAGATCACAAGTCAGAGTATCTCAAAATCATATCTTATAAAATCTGAAGGATGTGCACAATCAAGCCTTCACTTTGCCCCGATCATCTGAAGTACATGAAACATAACACTTAAAATGTAAGCCAAAGCTTAGTGAGTTCCCCCAAAGTACCACACACAACAAAACCAATATACATATTGCATGTTGGATCCACAGTATCCCGACTGATTACCCTGGACAACAATCTCCGATTGGATTGCCCGGGTTATTTGGCTGACAACACAAAACCGTACAGCCTCAACCCACCCACAATATGTCGACATATCTAACATATAATAAGCATAATATCATCCTATATACCAGGATACATAACCTAGTGGGTCGGCATTGGTGCCTTCGACCCACGAGTATAGTGAGGAGAAACTCACCTCACAGTTCGAAATGTAGCTGAACATATCAAAGCTCCAACTATTGACTCTACCGGTCACCTATACAATAAACAGTTACCTAAACTCAATCTACCACCCAAAATACCCAAAATGACCCTAAGTCAAACTTGGTCAAACCCCTTATCAAATGTCAATATCAGAAAGTCAAAAAGTCAGGGAAAGTCAAAGCAGACTGAGTACGCCCTACATACTCAGTCACTACGCTGGGTGTAGTCGCGATTCATACAAATTACAGGGTTCTTGGCTAGTACGTGCAACGTATTCCCTGGTACGCCCAGTGTACTCGGCCTAAATTTACTCTTTCTTGTTAAGCGTTTAATCTATTAAGACTTAACGTCCAAAGCTCATATAAAGCTCCAAATAACATTCTAAGTCATAAAGTTTCCAACTTTATGACTTTCAATGGATAAAATGAGTCCAACAACCAAACCCTAACTTAATACACAACCAAAACCTCATAACTCATGCATGAAGAAAGGAAAGGGATCAAGATCACATTTTTATGGTTCTTAACACCTAAAAACATCTGAAATGACAACTTTCATGGTTAGAGTAAGTTATACTCATGAACACTAAGCTTAAGGGACCAAAATGAACACAAACTCTAGGCTAGCAAGATCTAAGCAAATAACTCATCAAGTTTTAAACCTTATACCTTTAAATGATGCTTGAGGGTGAGATACTTCTGGATCTTGGTTGCCTTGAGCTTCCAAAATGATTCCACTATCTCCTCCTTCCTTCAAGAACAAAAAAATACACATTCTCAAGCTCAAAATGCTCACACAATGGATTAAGGTTAGCAAAGGACGATTTTGGAGATGGAGGCTGATGAGGGAAAGGGTAGTGAGGAGATAAGGATATTTAAATAGGGCTCAAGCCCTAAAAATTAGGGTTTGATCAGTTGTTACGTATGCCCAGCGTACTCGTGAGTACACCCAGCGTACTCACATGAATGTGCGACTTCATTAAACGAGCTACGTCATGCGTACGCCCCAAGTACACATGGTGTAAGGTACTAACTTGCCACATAACTATACTTTTGGGTCGAAAATGGAATTACCTGATTTCTGGGTGTTACAGATTTTCTGAAAATTTGAAAGACTTTTCTAAAACTAAACAATCAAAGATGGCTTTTTCGTTAATAGGGTTAGAGTTTAAGGATTTTTTTGAAAAAATTTCTTTTATATATACTAAATTAATTTGAAGAAATCTCACGTTCATTTATTAAAAAACTCAAAATAAAGATACCATGTACATCATTTTCACTAAAACCTCATTTATATATATATATATATATATATATATATATATATATATATATATATATATATATATATATATATATATATATATATATATATAATATATATATATAGAGAAGAGAGAGAGAGAGAGAGAGAGAGAGAGGTAGGTTTAAATGTGGATGTTCAAATATTGTGTGGATGTAGGGATTAATATGGGCCAAATATTATTTAATTTTAATAAATTATTTATTAAATCATCTATCCTTTAATTTAGGCAAATTAGTTTATTTAAAACCTTATTGCCTCATCCATCAACACCCACAAAATCACATCCCTCCCGTTTCCATCCAGAATTACTGAACCACCTCCGACTAGCACATCCTCTCTCCTGTGAAGCTACCATTGAAGCACTGCAACCCACCGTACATCTTCAAGCTACGATTGTTGTCGTTCTTTCTCTCTCTCTCTCTCTCTCTCTCTATCTCTCTTTCACTCTTTTTCTCGTTCGATTTGGTTTAAATCAACAAAAGAGCAATAATCGTGATTTGGTTTTTGAATCATCGCCGGATCGATGCCATAGGGATTTAGGCCTTAAGGTAGGAAATCGAGAACCGGGCATCGGTGGAGGCGGTGGTTGTGGGAGGAAGGGATTTAATTATCGCCATCGTCAAGATCGGGACTCAATTTGACTGTGTGCTTCATCGATTCAGCCGACCCTATTCTCTTAGCCATCATCGATTTCTCCCAGGTAAGTTCTCGATTCCACAAAATCGGTATGTTGTTCGATCCCTTAATCTAAATCTGTGTTTTTGAATTTTATTTTTTTGTCAATTCAATTGTTTAGGTCTCCCTGCCTGGCAGACGTTCCCACACGCACATACCTCACCTGAAGGTCCAACTATGGCGAATAACTCCAACACCAACAAGGAAAATCTATTTTCTTCATTGATTTTTGATATCAAAACCTACAATGGCGCAGATCCTCTTCTCCCATCGCTCCGGTAAGCACAAAACCCTAAATCTATTTTTCCTGCAGTTCCTTGTCACAAATTGAAATCTGTTTTCTTGTAGCAACTGTGCTTAGATTGAAAAATCATTCATATTTAATATTTATGTTATTGTTGTGTATGTGAAGTTAGATTTTGTTGATGACCCTGGTGCTGTTCTGGAGAACATGAAGGCGAATCACATTGGGAACAAGAGGTCACTATTTTACCAGGCCTATGCTCTTTATTATGAGAAATTGAAGAAATTTCCTGATGCTGAAAAGATGTATCATTTAGGAGTGCAAAAGTAAGTGATTGTTATTTGTTATTTTTCAAAATGTTCATTCAGTTTGAACTGTTCGCTGAAATTCTTAGCTTCATATACTTGAAGCCTTATTGGTTTTTTTTGAGTAATTCGTTATATGATTTATTGGTTTTTACCTTTTGCAAGCTTAATTGATAACTGGTAATGTGATAATGGATTTGTTTGTAGAATCTATACTACAGTATGAATAATGTGAGGTGAGGTAATTAAATATTTGAATTTTGTTTTACATAATGCTCATGTGAAGTAAAACTTATGAGTTAATTCCAACAGAATACATACGGTAATTGAATCTTGAATTCCAATTCTATTGGAATGGAATCACGAATTCCAATTATGTTGGAATGGAATATGAATATTTTCTCACTGATTTATGCATGTTCTACATTTCTTGGTTATTGGTTTTGGTGCAATTCACAAGTCCGCATATTTTTCCAAAGGAATTTAGTTTTTTATTTTTCATTTGCTAATGCATTATTGGATTCTAAACTACAATTTGGTTTTGTTTTCACAGAAGTTGATGCTTGAAGAACAGACCACAAAATTGAAAGTGATTCTAAGCAACATTATTCTTTTAGAATGTATTAGTGTCTTTGTTAGATTTTGATGTTTTCTTTCCCGATTTGAAAGTTTTTTTAGTTTTATTCTTTAACAATAAATGTAATTCTTAGTAATTGTTACCCGTATTCTATAAGAATTAATGTAATTTTTGTTATTATTCTTCAACTCATCGGTTCAAATTTTTGTTATTTTTCAAAATGTTCATTCAATTAGAATATGTATTCTGCCCGAATATCATTCTAACAGAATCAGATCGTTTATGATTAAAAAAATATGTTTGATTTGAATTAACTAAAAAACAATCATAATTTTTAAAATTAAAAAATCAATTATCTCTTGCAATCCGATAATTTCCATTTTTAAATATAATTTAATTTAGGAAAAATGCTTGGACCACAAAGGATCCTTACATCCACACAATAGTTACAATCCACATTATAACCTAACCCTATATATATATATATAGATATATATATATATATATATATATATATATATATATATATATATATATATATATATTATCGTTATTGTGGTTTTTAATAAATAAAAATGACTATTTTTTAGTGAAAATGATGTAGATGGTATACTTATTTTGAGTTTTTTGATGAATAAATATGAGTTTTTTTTCAAATTAATTTAGTATATATATAAAAGATTTTTTTTTTCAAAAAAGTCCTTAAACTTTAACCTATTAATGAAAAAGTCATCTCTGATTTTTTATTTTCAAAAAAGTCCTTCAAATTTTTAGAAAATCCCTAGAAATCGGTAGTAGCCAGGAACAAGGGTTTTTTTGCAATTGTTTATCGGTTTTTGAGCAAAATTGCAATAAATAAATAAATAAATAAATAAAATAAAAAATAAAAAATAGTTTAGGGATTTCTTTGGCGTCAATAAAGCCAACTTCAACTTCAGGGACTTTATTATACATTTCCCAATAAAGTATTTACTTATCTTAAAACTTTTCTTTAGTATGTTTACTAATAGAGAGAACTATAAATTCTCTTTAATTTTATAATTCTTAACGAGTCAAGGTTTAATTAATCAAGATAATCATTGATAAACTACATTTGACTTTAAAAATCTATTCAAATTCAATAAAATTTTGTTCGACCAAAATTCAACAATAATATATACTATTATATTTTATTTATAGACGATCAACATATACATAATCCATATCATTAATTGAAGCTCACACTCTGGCTCGGCTTTGGCCTATCTAACTTGATCTCAGGTCATCCTTGAATCAAAATTAAAATTGTGTTATATGCTTTTGCTTTTAAGTTTTGGTTTTGCCCTCCCTAAGTCTATTGCTCGTATTCCGTCCCTAATAATGAAATTACAGAAATGATCTGTGTAAGAAAAAAAATTATAGTAACGTTTTTTGTGCAAGACAATTGCAAAAATGATATCTGTGTAATAACGATATTATAGAGTTTGTCACTATAATAGCGAAAATATAGAAATGATATATGTGTAATTCGTAAATTACATGAATTATATAAATGGCCGGCAAATTTTGAATAATGGTTTATAGAAATAGTTTCTCAATAACATTATATATAAATATGTCAAAGATATAAGACTTCACCCCAAAAGAATCATCCGGGCTAGTTAAAAATACTTCCCAAATATATCTTTATCATTCAGATCCAAGCGTTCGATTTGACACTTGTAACAACCAAATTTCAAGATTTACTTACAAAACCAACGTTAGGTGATAATTGTATGTGGTAAAATGGACCAATCCGATACCACAGGCCTCCAAACGAGTAAATAGTTAAATTGGGAGATTGTCTCAGTGACCAACCTAATAGCCTTTTTTTTAATCTTTTTATTAGTGATTAATATATTAACTAAAACGAAAAAATCTATTTCCCAAATATTACAAAATTTTAAATGAATATAATTTGGAAGACTATAAACATTTTCGTATACTTTATACGACTTTAACATCGTAGAACCAAATGAGTTTATTTCACTTTTTAATAACTCTTTAACTTCATTTCTATATTAAAAAAAGTTAATATATATAATTGACTAGGAAAAGACACTAAACAAACTCTCACCCACTAAATTACTTTATGTGAAATGGAAGAAATTAGCTTGAACCAAGCCTAACAATGCCTCCATAGAAACTTGCTTTGGATTAAAGAAATAAATCAAGTGTCTTCTCCCCCATCAAACTATACTACCAGCAGTTGCTGCTGCTCGTCCTCTTGCTGGGTGGCATGCACAACACCCACCTAAAACGACGTTCCAGCTAGCAATCAATCAGGTCATAATCCATATATAAACTTGCGTTGGCTAGTCATCTCCCATCTCAATCTCACTGCAATCAACCATCTACCACACACACACAATCAAACACAACTAATCAAGATGGAGGGTAGCTGGGTTCGAGCTTTAATGGTGGTCGGGTTCTTCTTCCCATTGTTAGTTCAAGGTCGAATTCGACACTACAAGTTTAATGTGAGTAGTCTTTTTGTTTTCGTAAAAACAATCATTAAAAACTCACAACGTGCATGATAGTAAAATATTTTCAAGAATAACATATCCTGCATGCATGCATAGTGTAATTAATGCACTACAAGAAACTGACTTTTTCCAACGAGATATTTAGCAACACATTGAATGTGACAACATTTCATCAGTCAATATATTGATGATCATCAAAATATTCTGAAAATTCCAACTTTCTGCATCGACATGTCGGAGTTGTAGGTTGGGGGAGAAAAATTACAACCAAGATTTCATGTCTCTGGGGATTTTCGATATTAAAATAAAGAAATACATTTATATAACATAAAGAATTACAAAAAGGTTCATGATATATAAGATCTTATGTAGGTGGTTACAAAGAACGCAAACCGTTTATGCTCAAGCAAGCCGATCGTGACAGTTAATGGACGTTTCCCTGGACCTACTCTTTATGCTCGAGAGGGTGATAATGTGCTTGTAAAAGTTGTCAACCTTGTCAAATATAACGTCTCCATCCACTGGTATATATATGCATGGTTTCATATACAAACTTTCGGTTTATATTTATGCACATATATATATTTACCTGAAAATGAGAATCATGGGGTTTTTGTTTATGCTTGATTGTTTTGAAAATGAAGGCATGGAATTCGACAACTACGTACAGGATGGGCCGATGGCCCAGCATATATAACACAATGCCCGATCCAGCCCGGGCAGAACTTCGTGTATAACTTCACCATTACCGGGCAACGAGGCACACTTCTTTGGCATGCTCATATTCTCTGGCTAAGAGCTACTGTCCATGGTGCCATTGTCATCTTACCTAAACTTGGTGTTCCTTATCCATTTCCCAAACCCCATATGGAACAAGTCGTGATTTTAGGTGAGAATTGAGTACAAAATTTGATCCTTAATTAATTATAGCTTTGTAACAGGAATTATGATTCATCTGACCTTTAATTGTGGGGTTTCATGGATGAAGGTGAATGGTGGAAATCAGATACCGAAGCAGTGATCAACCAAGCGTTGAAGTCTGGCTTGGCGCCAAACATCTCAGATGCCCATACCATCAATGGTCATCCAGGACGAATCCATGGTTGTCAGACACAAGGTCCAATTTCTTTATTTTGATGCCTAATTTGATCTTATAAAATCGATCTGCATGCATGTGTTTTAAAGCTGGTTTACGTACTTTGTTGTGTAATATAGGAGGGTTTCATTTGAGTGTTGAAAAAGGAAAATCTTACATGCTACGTATAATCAACGCTGCACTCAACGAAGAACTGTTCTTTAAGATCGCCGGCCACCAGCTTACGGTGGTAGAAGTGGACGCCGTCTATGTCAAACCATTCAAAACCAGTACAATAGTCATCGCACCAGGTCAAACCACCAACGTCATAATCACCGCCGACAAGAACTCCGGTAAATACTCAATGATTGCTTCCCCATTCATGGACTCCCCTATTGCCGTTGACAACAAGACTGCCACCGCCATCATCCATTACACCGGCACCCTTTCCTCTTCCCCTACCACCCTAGCCACCCCACCAGCGCAAAACGCCACCGCAGTAGCAAACAGCTTTATAGATTCCCTCCGTAGTTTGAATTCCAAAAAGTATCCAGCCAAAGTGCCATTGAAAATCGATCACTCCTTGTATTTCACAGTCGGTCTTGGCATCAACCCATGTCCGACATGCAAAGCAGGTAATGGAAGTCGAGTTGTGGCGGGTGTAAACAATGTTACATTCGTTATGCCAACTACAGCTCTTCTTCAAGCACATTACTTCAAAACGAAAGGAGTCTTCACTACCGATTTTCCATCTAACCCACCTACCGTTTTCAATTATACCGGAAGTACCCCGCCGGCGAACATGGCTACAAGTAATGGGACTAAGCTTTATCGGGTAAAGTACAACTCTACTATTCAATTAGTGCTACAAGACACGAGTATTATTGCTGCGGAGAATCACCCGATTCATCTTCATGGGTTCAACTTCTTTGCTGTGGGTAAGGGAATCGGGAATTATAACTCGAAGAAAGACCAGAAAAAGTTTAACCTTGTTGACCCTGTTGAGAGGAATACGATTGGTGTGCCTTCTGGTGGTTGGGTTGCTATTCGATTTCGAGCAGATAATCCAGGTGTTTGGTTCTTGCATTGTCATTTGGAAGTGCATACAACTTGGGGTTTAAAAATGGCGTTTCTGGTGGAGAATGGGAAGGGGCCAAATCAGTCGCTTTTGCCACCTCCAAAGGATCTACCAAAATGTTAGAGAGATTTAAGGGATTTATTCTTTAAGATTTACAACAATTTTTCTAAGTGAAATTTATGTATTGGTTATTTTAGAATTAAACATATAGCTTTTTTGTTTGAAAAAGATTAACAATGTGATATCCCGATTTTTGATATGTAAGAGCTTCTTAAATAATTACAAGTATTTGTTTTTTGAAAAATTGGTCAATAGAACTCATACTCTACATTTTTATTTTATATAAATTGTAGTCAAAATGAACGAACAAAACCACAGTCAAACATAAAATTGTAGTCAAAATTTCATAAATCTTAGTCAAAATGTTAGACTTTCATTGAAAAATAAAATACAAAATCGAAGGTCAGAGAGTAGGAAATCAAAGATGGCTCTATGCCATCTGTGATTTCAGCGTTTCAAAATATTACATTTTGGTTTTTTATATATACAGATTTTTGTGCCAATTAAAGTAAAAGATATCCATTAACCATAGTCTATAAAATTAAGCATATGAATTATAATTAAAGTAAAATAGTTTGTTAATAAAACAGAAATTATTCTAGTTATGTTTTCACCCTCTAAACAAACATAAATACGCATTACATATTACAATAAACATGAGTGTTCATAAATATGGGGATTGATCAGCGATCATTTGTGGGTATTAAATATTGAATGTAACATACATATAATCAAATATTTTTCCGGATACTCAATAGAATCGAATGATCTTGTCAGAAGTAGTATATGCCCTCGTCCCTATTCCACTCCAAAGGTCAAAAGATGGGATGATTGTGTTGGAATGAGAAATTTCATTTATTATAATGATTTCTTACTATAGTTTTGACATATTATTATTATTTTATTTTAAGAAAAATGTAAGAAGTAACAAAATACTACTTTGTTAACTTAGAAAGTATAAATACCATATTATGGGCGTGATGCTAGGGGGACACCTCTTACCATCGTGAACACCATTTCTATTGCCTTATGAATTGTTGGCAATTTAACATAATATTTTTACACTACAATCTTTCATTCTATAATATGCAATCCAATAATTATTTCTACAATTCATTCTATAATATGCAAACCAATAATTTTTTCATCTACTATTTTACAACACACCACCACCATACAAAAACCGTAACCGAGATGGGTTGTTTGCCTTAAACACAACATCTCGACAATTCCACACAAAAATAGAAATAAATGTTTATCAGAATAACGACGGTCTTTCTTCCAAATTGCGGGAGATGAAAGCTAAAATTACCCCGTTCAATAGGATTTACAACAATCTTAACAATTAATATAAAAATATAAGAAATGATTTTGATTTCTTTGTCATCGCTCTCTAATAATATCGGTAACAACACACTAATAAAGTATTTACCCATGTCAAAACAAATAAAGTTCTAAAAATGCTCTGAAATGAGTATTGCGAGATGTACTAACACAATCTACTGGATCTAACAAACGGTCTAAAAAGCCCGAATCGAACAACTACAAAATAAACTTTAACTCTCGGACTACAATCGACATCAACGATACTGTCAACGAGATTCCATTGGAAGAAACCCTTCAACGATACGCATAAAAGGATTAAATAAAGCGAGTTGCATCATCTTCCAATAAGAACATATCGAAACCAAATGAATTATACTTTTTAAGGAAAAATTTAAGGAAATCTACAATTGCAAAAACTAAAGATGGAGTTTAAAAATAAAGCAAAACTTGAACAACAAACATTACTTCAGAAACAAGTTTTTATGTCGACCAATGATCTCGAGGATGAGGACCTCGAGACGATTTAACAGTAAAAAAGACGATTCTAAAAAAAATATAACAAAAAATTGTGATTTTTAAGTTTCTTGTAACAACATGAATCTTGAGGAGAATTGTTGGGAGTAAAGCCCCTTTTAGGGTTGGACACGGTGTGTTGGAGGAACCAACACGGCGTGTCTAGATTTAAAGAAACGCGGAGATTAATGGACCAACACGGCGTGTTGTGGTATCTTAACACGGCGTGTTGGCAGCTGGGAAGGAAACCCTAATTTTAGGGTGTTGCACCCTATTTAAAGGCCTTAATTCTTCATGGATGGCCTCCTTACCAGCCTCCATTGTCACTCAAACCCTAATTTGTCCCTTAAGCTTTCTTGGTGGTGTTCTTGAGCCTTAAGTGGATTCTTGTGGTTATTTTGCTCATTTCTAAAGGAAGCTTTGAAGATTGAAGGTGCTTAGCTTGGAAGGAAGATCATAGATCCAGGATCTCTCCACTTCTTGCAGTCTCTTTGAGGTATCAAGTTTGCATCTTGACTTGTGTTTGATTAGATCTCTTCATGACTAGTTATTATGATTTTGGTCTCCTTTTCGGGTCCATGGATGAGTTGGGTTGTTTAAGGGATTGTTCTTTCAGATCTGAGTTTGTTTTGGTATTCTTGAGCATAAAGGTGCAAGCTTTATGTGAAGAATGGTGTCATGCATGCTTTAAGCCCTCTATTAAGTCCCTTTTTAGCTTAAGAGCTTCATTTAGTCATGTAGGGACGTAAAGTTGGCAACTTTACGTGATAATCCAGCTCAAGGAGGTTAGATCTATGTTTTGGGGGCATGCCTTTATGGATTAAGTGCTTAATGGTTGAGCTGTTGAATCTCGGGCAAACACAACGTGTTTGCAAGCCAACACGGCGTGTTTGCAAGCCAACACAACGTGTTGGCTAGGGATTTCCCAATTATCTAGATGATGGAAGAACACGGCGTGTCCAAGGGGAAACACGACGTGTTTGGTCAACATGGGTTGTTGACTTTGACTTTGACCAGGAGTTTGATCAGGGTGACCATGAGTTATGTTGGGCTATGTTTGGGCATTAGGGTAAGGCCCATGTAAGGGGTCTAGGCCCAATTTGGAAAATTGGGCCAAGTATGGGCCTTGAGTGATTAATAGGTTTTGGTCCTTTTAGATTTCGAGTTTGGGCCTCATCCTTGGACAAAGCTAGGTTAGGGGTAAAATGGTCATTTTACACCAAGTATGGATTTATGGATTATGGATTATGGATTTGAACCCAATTCTTAGTTGGGTGTTATTTTGATGTTGACAGTTCGGGGATCTGTCAGCCAGCATCCAAGGACCGTCTGTGTGATTCGGTAGTACGAGGTGAGTCTCCTCAATGGGTTTAGCGGGTCGAAGGCACCAATGTCGGCCCATGGTTTTTATGTTAGAATGATAGATGTATGTGTAAATCTTGCGTGCGTTATGGAATGGTATGCTTACCGGGCAAGGCCCGATGCCAGACAGGGCCTGAGGAGTATAGTGTATGCTGGTTATGAGTAACTGTTTTATGCTTACCGGGCGAGGCCTGATGCCGAGCGGGGCTCGATGATTGTATGGTATGTTTTGGTCTTTGTGATTATTGCATGTGTTAGTAAGGTTATATGTTTATATGATTATAGGGTTATATGATTATATGTGTATCGTGCGGGGCCTAATGATAGGCGGGGCCTGGTAATTGACAGATCTGTAATCCGAGCGGGGCTCGATGCCGGGCGAGGCCCGATGACGAGTGGGACTCGAGACCGGGCGAGGCCCGATAGAGGGCGGGGGCCTAGTATGTGATTTATTATGTATGGTATGAGGTATCTTGGGGAACTCACTAAGCTTTGTGATTACGGTTTTCAGTTTATGTTTTAGGTACTTTGGTTTTCAAATGGAAGAGCTCGGGATGATTGTAGAGCACACACCACATGTTTCCGCATTCCGTTATTTACTCTGATTTGATGATGTTTTGCTAACTCTTGATTACCTTGGTTTTATGGAAATACTATGTATTAACGATTTATTAATCTTAAAAACGTAAATTTTATGTCATTATTTTTGGGACGTTACAAGTTGGTATTAGAGCCTTGGTTTGAAGGATGCGGGCACACTCTCGGGTGTGTCTAAACTCAAACCGAGGATTTGGTAAGTTTTTTTTCAATATATATATATATATATATATATATATATATATATATATATATATATATATATATATATTCTTAAGAAAGGGTTTTCTGAAATAAGAAAAGGGTGTGGTGCATGCAATCAGCCGAACTCAAGTAAATTTCCCATAATACCCATACATGTTATTTAATATGTTTTGATATGTGAATCTGTGAATTGCATGCTAGTTAGGGTTAAGGATCTACTCAGTTTTTGCATGGTAGAATGCTAGGAGAGATGCCTTGTTTTCCTATTGTATGAGCTTGTAGACTTGCATGCTAGTTCTGATTAGCAAGTGATAGGTTGGCCTGATATGTGATGCATGGTAGTCTAGGAAGCGTGGGATGCTGGATTGGGTTGAGTTGGATGTGTAGGCAGTTTGTAGCGGGAGTGGGAGCTCCTTGTATGAGTTGTAGTATGTGATATTGGAGTGTACTGCACGAATGTTGCTTGCTTTATGCTTTGTGGAACCCTTAAATGATGGAAGTTAGCTATTAAGTGAATATGTCAAGTCACATGTGACAAAGGTTGAATAATCTCAGAGTGATGGATTTGACCCTATTGCGCAGCTCTTGTCTGAGTCCAATCGTTGTAGGGATGATTGTCTTACTCGATAGATTATATAAGCTTTGTTGAATGTGATTGTATTCATGAGATGGGTGACTGGTATTATAAGGAGTTCTTCAGCAGTTGATGGCAGGGTGAGGTCAGGAACCTAGGAAAGTCTAGGCGTTGCTTCAGTGGGTTTTGTTGTGCAGGCTAGCAAGGGTTGGTGTATTGATTTGAGGAAGTGACTTAGAGGATTCGGGAGGATTCTTGAAGAAAGTATGGATAGGTGTGGAAGGTAGTATTGGGCCCGTACTACTAAATACACATGATCCATACTCGAATCAAGGAGATTCTTGGAGAATCTAGGAAGCCTGTGGGATGAGGATTCTTGGGTATATTCGGATATTTTTCATGTTGTTTCGGTATGGTGGTGAGCACTCGGAAGTAGGGTTCAGATTCTGGTTCCGACTCAGGAGCAGGTATTGAGCCAATCGATGCG